GCTGAAAGACAAGGCCTCTTTCTTGATTTAAATGTTGAAATAAATGTGGGACTGCTATTAGAAATGGCTAGTAATTTCCTCCATAAAAAGTACCTGTAATAGTATAGAAGAAATGTATGTCAATATTTTATTATACTTTATTATTGAAGACCCATAATAGCAGTATCATGTTTCCCTTTATCATTTGGTGGAAAAAGTGATACCATTCATTATGTAATAAGGGGATGGAAACAGGTGAGTATATATAGAAGAGTGCACAAAACAAGCTAATTTATTCCCTTCAAACAGATAACTTTCCCTGGAACACTTCGCAGTATGGTTCTAAATAGCAGTGGTTTTCTTCTCATAGATAAGGTTTTTAGAAGAGTTTTTTACCTCTTTTGAAGTTGAACAGCTTTACTGCATCAGAGCTTCAGTAAGAATGGATCAGTGTTGCTTCAGTGCATGTATTCTGATAGCTTTGTTATCTTTTAAATGTTTTATTTCCTGCAGCTGACATGGTAGTACATCGTGTTGTTGGCACACTATGCCAACGCTGTGTCCTGCCCCTGGAACTGAGGCTAGTCTGGTCCTGTGGACTGAGCTTCCAGTTAGTCTTTGGAGTGCCTTGTGCCTTGTAGAACACAATATGCTTAAACAGCATGCCTTGATTGAACTAAACTGCTAAGATAACACACTAAATATAAGTTATTCCACATATATTTCCCGTCTTTCTCCCGGTTTCTTCCAGCTCTTTTCTCAGGTCTGCAGTCTGCTGTATGGCAACAATGACAACAGCAGCTGATTAAGCTTATACTGAATGGATGCACACTTGCCCCACCTTTTCTGGGGCTCCGCTCAAAATACTACAGTTGTCTCAAACACATGGTTTAAATTCAGTGAAAAGATACCAATTAGTACACAGAAGCTAAATATACTAATTCTTGGGGGGAAAAAATAAGGTCCTTCTCATGGAGGCAGGCATCTGACAAACTTGTCATGAATAGGTGAAACTCCCTTGTTATTTAACGCGTTAATCAAAAGAAACATACAAACTAGCAGAAAAGATATCAGTGACCTCAAGAGTAGACATTGTGATCAAGAGAAGTTGCTACAAATAGAATTCAGAAGCAAGTAATCTTGTGAAGAGAAGCATGAAAACAGAAATGAATTTTCAGTTGTATTTTCTAAGACATGTCCTGTATTGTGCATTGAAGTACTTTGAAGATGCTATATAGTAAGACACCAGGATATGAAGTGCCACCAAACTACCATAGATGTTTAGATCTGGAAACTGTGAAATCATTTTCACTTGGCATTGTGCTCAGCCCTGGCTTGTGGATAGCAAGCTGACGTGTGGCTGTACTCTTTTTCCCAGTATTTCCAGTTCTGGACTTGGTGTCAGTGGAGTCAGTGATCCTTCTTATCTTTGTGTGGCAATTTATAATTCCACTGTAACAGCTAGTTCAGTAAACCTCCAGGACTAAAAGAACTGTGAATCATCTACATAAAAACTAATTGAACAGACCATGAGGTGTATGTTGGTTACACAGTTATAAAACCAAACCTGTTATCTTTTAAGTGCAGGAGGTCAACAAAGATGGGTTTGTGTAGCTGCTTGAAATTGCAGCTACAGAACCGGTGATTTCAACCACATCGGCTCCTGCAGTATTTTCCTGTCAGAAAATACTGTGTTCTGGTAATTTGGGCAATATTTGTTGAATTCAGAAGCACAGAAGAACATACTTGATTTTCTGGAGTGTTATTAGCAAGAAACCAATAAATTAGGGTTAGTTCTTCATCTATATCCTGGTTTTTCTTTATTATACTGGAGGATGTCCTTGTTTCTTCCCCTATACATATGCCATTTGTTCTGTTTTGGAAACTTGTGATTCCTCTGACCCTTCCCAGCCCATACTGAGAGTTAAGTTTATGTACCCCAAAATACGCCTTTTTACAGATCTGCTTGCAAACTCATTCTTGAATTCCGTGTGCTTTTCGTTCCCCTCTCCTGAAGGAGTTGTTCTTTTCTTTTTGCTCCTTTCCTTCAGGCTTGCCAGTATTTTCAATCTTTTTTTTTTTTTTTTTTTTTTTAAATGAGGGATATTGCTGTATTAGAATATAATGACTGCAGCCATTGTCATTGGTCTGTAGTCAGTTAGAGATGATGGAAGCTGCTGACACAAAGTCACATTCAAGTGTGGTTTTGGCCAGCTCAATCCTTTTATGTTCTTCTGAACATTTCTATTTCTCATATCCTTGCTTTCTTTCAGTTTTGACTCAAATCAGTAGGTAGAACCCCACAGAATATTTGAGGTGCTTAAGGAAATGAACCCTTTGAATTTGGAGATGACTTGCCCACAAAGAAATTACTGTCAAGGTTATTAATGGGTGTAACAAGCGAGAACAATATCTTCGCAGGTTTTCATAGTAGTTCTGTCTTCTAAAAAGACTTCCTCAGATTTGCTCATTTGTGGTGACATTACGTTTTAGGTTTTACCCCATTTTTCAATAATACAATTTCAATTAGGTTTTTTAATGTGTTAAAAAAATTGATGCTTTCTGAAGCAAGCTGTGTGAGTCATTTCTGGAGGTAGGGTACCAAAGTAGAAATAGAGACCCTGCCTAGCCTGGGAGGGCAAGTCATAGGACTCCATCTTAAGTCAGATTGCTTTTGTGTTATCATTCTTACAGTTTTGACAACTGAGCTGTTGTAGCCTGACGTTCCTTTCTTAAGGTGGCAATGTGAAAGACTAGTAGGAACCTTGTAAATAAAGTGCAATAGTTTTCTTGAAACATGTTGGGTTTTTGTTTGTCTGTCCGTCATCCCTCCCCCACCCCCCCAAACTAATGGACTCAGTATATAGCAATTTGGATATACGTAATGTGTAGAAAATGAAATTTGCCTTGCTAATAACTTGAAATGACAGATGGGTGTGTTGTTTCCATTTTTGCACCAGGAGGTGCTGATTCTTTTTGAATCCCACAAGAAATACACAAACTTTATCAAGAAAGATGACTGTTTTATTAATGTATTAGAAATGGTTCTAGCAAGTCACAAGTTAAGTCCCTTGATGCAGCATCTGATGGACCTACAGTCAGGCCACAGCATACTGCAGAGATCCATTGGTGGTGAGGCTCCCAATGTCCCTTCCCCTCAAATCCAGTCAAATAATTTGGGAAAAAATTATCTAGTCCAAGACTTAATAAATGGTAGAACCACAGAATGAGTAAATATGCAATTCTGCAAATAAGTTGACAGCTAATCTTTTTTGGTTTTTTTTTTTTTATAACTAGATATAAAAGAGAGGTTCACCAATTATGTGCTGCTACTAATTGTGTGTCTAAGAAATATGGAACAGTTCTCATGGAATCCAGGTGGGTAAACTAGTAGAAAAATTAAAAACAAAATGACAAATTCCTGTGCTATCAGCTGTATCTCTTGCTTCTTTCCTCAATCTGAACAACAAGTGTAACCAGGACATTTAATTGAGGAATCTTTATTTGTCAAATACCTTAGGTTATCATTTTTCTATTTTTGGTTTTCTTGTAGTTGTGACTCTGTCGTTTCAGCTAGAAGTATGTGCTGTTATGCTACACACGTGCATAGTTATCTTTCAGGTAGCATCTTGAATGATTTCTTCCCAGCACTTCCATTTCACACAGAATTTCAGAATTGCCTCAATTGGGAAAGACCTATAAGATCATCAAGTCTAATCATTAACCTAACACTGACAAGTCCCCTAAACCATGTCCCGTAGCACTATGTCTAGATGACTCCTAAATACCTTCAGGGATGGGGACTCCACCACTGCCCTGGACAACCCACTCCAATACCTGATAACCCTTTCAGTAAATAAATTCTTCTTAATATCCAATCTAAACTTCCTTTGGTGCAACTTGAGGCCATTTCCTCTTGTCCTATCACTTGCTAATTGGGAGAAGAGACCGACACCCACCTCTCTACACCCTCCTTTCAGGTAGCGGTAGAGAGTGAGAAGGTCTCCCCTCAGCCTCCTCTTCTCCAGGCTAAACAACCCCAGTTCCCTCAGCCACTTCTCAGAAGACATGTGCTCTGGACCCTTTGCCAGCTTCGTTGCCCTTCTCATTTCCTTGGAATACATTGAGGATGAAGGATCCCTTAGGGAATTTCACTTTGTGAAGCTAGTGAGATTGAAATTTGATAGAAGATTATGTGAAAATTTCCATTCATAGTTTGATATTGATTATACTTAGGATTTTAATACCATATTGAATAAATACTGTGTAAAATTTGGGTTTTATTTTATTAATTGTTTTAATAATTTTGAGCCCTGATCTGTGTGGTATATTGTGCTTGAGTGTTTACTAGTCTACCTAAATTTTACCTTAGGCATCTAAAACCTCACATAACTCTGTCTGCTCCTCATACATACCGAACATCTATCTAGTATGTGCAAATCTTGTCTTCCTAGTAGAGATAAAGCTTAATGAAGCAATGACTTCAGAATCTGATTCTAGTTGTGGTGTGATTCTATAGTACTGGTAAGTTTCTAGAACAGCAATGGCATAAGTGAGAACTTGCACACTACATGCTGAGCGGTGATGTAAAGTTACAGACTCTTCAGACTTGCAAACTTTTCACTGTTGAGCAAAAGTATTATAATTTGTGTTGCATACTGGCATCAAATTAAATGGCCTAACTTGTTTCTTCCCAACCTTCAGATCATCTTTGGGTGTTATTCCCAGATGTTTGCATGGTGGTTGCTTCAGAAATTGCAGTGGATATTGTGAAACATGCCTTTATAACAAAATTCAATGACATCACAGCAGATGTAGGTATCCTATTTGGAATGTTCAGTGCTGTTTCAAGTTGTAGTTTATTTTACCTTTTTTTTTTAATATTAAAATGTATTCCTGTGCAGAAAATGTAAAAATTGTTATTTTCATATGCAGGATGTCATTTGGGAAAGCTTGGTAATTTCCTGGTACAACATACTTCTGAGGATCTTTGTAATGTGTAACAAACACCTCTGCTTCTAAATTAGTAGTTCCAAATCCATAAATTATTGAAAGTGTTGTGTAACAGTTCACATAATAACTACAATTCACATAACTGACAGATCATTTTGTGAAGTGATCACTAGTTAAATTGACAAAAGTTTACTCGTTCTGCAGTCTAGACAGAGCCTGTACCTTTTCCTAACGGAATGGATTCTAGGTTAAAATTCAGGCTTTAGGAAAAACAGATACTGTGAGGGTGCTGAATCTCTATTCTTCTATGTATGTTAAAGGTCGAATCTGAAATCAGATATGTTTTTACACTGTCCCTGGGGGAATAATAAGAAGTAGGTTATCTATTTAGTTTCCCACTCCTGGAATTTTTTAGGCCATATTTATTACGCAGTCCTTCTTTTAAAGTAGTAGATGAGGTTACTTTTTGTGTGGTGTGACATAATACATTAGCCGTTTGTCTTGCATATTGTGTGAATTCAAACGCACTTGATAAATTTGTGAAGAGATGAGTTAGCATTTTTTCACTATTAAAACCACTTTTCAGGAAATGAGATCAGAACTTGGAAGTGCTATCATTTTCAGCATCTCTAAAGTAACTACATTGTGCAGTGTAGAAACAAGTTTCATAGATGTACTTAATAAGCTCCCTTATGCCAGAGGCATTTATGCATGCCCTACTTTCATAGAGAGAGTGAGGG